TGATTTAAACCCCTTTGGGTTTTCCAAATCCATATCTAATGCATTTGTAAAAGTACTGCAACTGCTCATCGCTCCCGTGGCCTCATCTGGCCAGCCAGCAACAGGCTACAAACCGATCTTTGTACAAGGTGTTTGTTTATAATTTATAAGGCTGATAGAAAGGCAGAGCCCTCTGCTCCTCCAGGCATCAGTACTTCTTACCCCTCCCATTCCCTGCTAGGGCATTTTAACCTGGAAATCATTTATAATTAGGAGGAGATTACATTGCACAGTCTGGAACATGGCTTCCTGCTGTCTTCTGCATCGTTTTTGCTCCTCCTGGAGCTGCCCCCTGAAGCTCTTAAGCAGTTTTGATTTGAAAACTCCTTTCTTTCCTAGACTTTATTTCCATTCTCAGCTGCCCAGCTAACTGCTCCATCATCATTCCCCACATGTGTTTTGCCTTTAAGTGCAGGGCAGTTTGCTGGAGCTCCAGCTCAGTGGTCAAGGACTGTTTGGTGAGACAGCAGTTTTCAAGTGTGGTCCCAGACCAGCAACATCAGACGCCTGGGAACTTGCTAGAAATACAAATTCTCAGGCCTCACCCCAGCGTTCTGTGTTTTAATAAGCCCTCCAGGTGATTATGATGCATGCTGAAACTTGAGAACCACTGTGGTAAGGCAAGGCAGGGAGCAGAACAAAGATTTCTGGTGGTGTGTGGGTTGCCACTGTCTTAAACTGTATTTCACTTCACCTTTTTCTCTACCTGCTTACATCATTATTGAGTCCAAAAAGGATGAGCCCTCCTTGTCATTAGTGCATTACTTTGCTATGGCCTGAGAAAAGAAGTAACAGAGACCCAGGAAATCTCTCCCTTTGTAAATTAACTCATCAAAATTTCAGCCTTACGAGAAGAAGCTGCATGAACGAATTGAAGCAGTGACCACTCACCACTGTAACTGAACATTTCCATTTCCATTCCATGTTCCATCTGAACATTTCCATTTCCATTGCTTGTTGTATATTAATTTCCATGAAATTAATATACAACAAGCAATAAATGTAAATTGCTAATTGGAGCTTTGAAATATTAATGAAACTGTAAACACACCACCCACTACTCAATGAAGCTACCAGATCACTCTGTGCCTACTGCATCCCCTTCATTATGGTAGAAGTAAAACCCTAGATCCCCAGCTGTACAGGTTCTGAAAGGGAACATGCTGCTTGGAGAAGCTCCGTTTTAATTTTTAGCATTCTCTTTTCACTTGTTATTTGCATATCTCTCTCTGAGCTCACTGCAGGAACTGGGAGCAGTTGCGAAATTGGGTGGAGTTGAGGGGATGGGACAAAATTTGGGAGATGGCCATTGACTTGGAATCATCATAATACAGTACAAACACAAACACCATGGCTTGAATTTGAGGCTGACAAAATGCTTTTTGTCTATATGCCCAGTTTTTCGTGGGCTTAGGGCCAAGCCTCCCGAAAGAAGGAAAACCTTACTTGTACTTTCCCCCCAACCCTCAGACCCCTCTTAGTAATTAATCTGGCAGTATCTAGTTCAGTGCTTTTTTAATGTTGGTGGTGAGTTTTGAGGGTCATTGTAGGCTTCTATATGTTTGACTGAATTGCAGGTTAACACATATAAGCTAGATGTCTGTAACAGCAAGATAGAAAAGCCGACTTTCATAAAATACTCACCATGCATTTTTGGGACATTAAATGTAGATAAAATGGAAACCATACAAAGCTGTCTTAAAGCCCACAGAGTCCCATTTCCTTTTCTGTTTATTTTCATGTCCTACTTAATATTTGTCATTGCTTTCTTTCTCTCTCTGCCTTTGATGGTTGCAGTCTAAATTGTCAGTTTCTTTTTACCTTTCTGAGGATTGTGCCAACATAAAGGTTAGAAAACCAAGATGGACTCACTTTTTTTTTTTTAATTTATTTTATTTTTGGCTGTGTTGGGTCTTTGTTGCTGCACGCGGGCTTTCTCTAGTTGTGGCAAGCCGGGGCTACTCTTCGTTGCGGTAGGCAGGCTTCTCATTGCATTAGCTTCTCTTGTTGCAGAGCATGGGCTCTAGGCACGCGGGCTTCAGTAGTTATGGCACGCGCAGACTCAGTAGTCATGGCTCGCGGGCTCTAGAGTGCAGGCTCAGTAGTTGTGGCGCAGGGGCTTAGTTGCTCCGCGGCATGTGGGATCTTCCTAGACCAGGGCTCAAACCCGTGTCCCCTGCATTGGCAGGGAGATTCTTAACCACTGTGCCACTAGGGAAGTCCCTGGACTCACTCTTGAAGCTCCCGCAGTTGCTTTGGTTCTGTATCCCCAACTGTAATCATGTGTCAGTCCAGGGAAGGGGGAGGAGATTATCTTTTTGGCAACAGGCTTGGGACCCTGAATAAGGAGCAGACAGTCTCAGTACTAACTAGATAAATCTAGCCATAACAGGCTCGAGCAGATGGTGGGTTGGAAGTTGAGCAGTACAGAGCCCTAATGGTGATAGCAATGAGTATTTGGATGTCATTATCTTATTAGTTAGCAAACAGAACCATCCTTGTGGTCCCTCCTCAGCTTTATGTGTAATGGTGCTGTAGGTGTCAGCCCCCAGGAGTTGGCACAATAGCCTAATCAATGTGTTCTGATGTCTTTTTTGATCTCCTCTGTCATCTCTATGGCTTCATTAACAACACACACAGGGAAAGGGGGATGAATATAGAGTTTTAGAAATCACTCCGAATCCCTGATCCCATAAGTCTCAAGTTCCCCCTGGAAAGCAGCTCTTTGTTTTGATTTCCTTAAGGTAATTTCCTGGGGAAACTTGCCCTTGACCTTCCTGGTCAGGCCATTTGGCTTCCTGGAGTAGATCACCTGGAATCTGGTGAGGACAGTGAGCTTGCCTTTTTATTTGTTTTAACCATAATGCCTCTGACAGTGGATATCTGAAGTGATCTCCTTCAAATAAAAGAAAGTGAATTAGTCTCTTTGCATGTAAGTATATCTAAATGAGACAGAGCCCAGAGGAGCTTGGTCCCTTTGGATGTGTTGTGCTGTTCTGCTCATGCCCATGGTGTGGGCCATCTGATTCCAGGCTCACATCAAGGATAGGCCACTTCCTCCCGGCAGGGATTTGCACAATGGGCCTCAGAGAGGGATTCAAATGAAAACCGAAACAAATCGTGCAGGCGCAGCCCCAGAGCTAGCTAACATCTCATTAGTCCTGTCATGTGGAACGATTCTCCCCACCGACAGGCATTCCTCCACCCCACCTCTGACCCCACCCGTTCCCTCGCTGGTGCTGAGCCTGCCTGCTGCCTGGCTGACTGTGCTTAATTCTCAGTAACTGCTACGTGCAGACTGCGGCTGCCCATGGTCATTGGCTTATGGTATGGGTGAGGGATAGAGCGTAGTGAGAAATGAAAATAGTTCCAGCCATCCAGCCAGGGCTAGGCTTTGTTTCTCTTTATCCTCTCTTGTGGAATTAGGGATTAGCATTAGCAAGGAGCCATCCAGAAGACTGAAGTCTCTAAATGCTCCAGTTTTCTTAAATGAGAAAATAAGAGAAAAACTGGTGAAATGATTTCCTTCTCCAAGGTCACATAGAGATGGGGAGTAGGATTCTCACCCCCAAGGAAGTTTTACCTGGATCACCTATTTCTTGGAATCAGTGGGTTTACATTTTCATTCATCTCAGTTTTGGACAATAACAGCTGTTGAGAGGCTCTCCAGGAACAATTTTTAATAACTTTTTCCCTAGCTCATCTCTCAAATGATGTTTCCTAAGTGTGAGCTAAGACTCAGCAGGTGGTTGTGGTTGTGTTGACTCTCTGTAGTTTCCTATTAAATTGGTAGAAGAGACATATCTTTTGTGTGTCTTGTGTTGCTTGTTCCATGACATTTTAGTTTGATAAGGCAGCCTTTAGTATTTCTAGAGAGTGTTCAGGTTCAGGCCCTTAGAGAGGCCCCCAGATTTCTTGACCCAAAATTTTTTATACCATCAACTCCAAACTTTCTTACCCTCTTTTCTTTCTTTGTCTGATGCAGCCTCCATGAATGTGCTGGTGCAGAACTGCAAAATCTACAATGATGCCAGCTGTGACATTTCTGCAGATGGCCAGCTTCTGGCGGCTTTCATCCCTAGCAGCCAAAGGGGCTTTCCTGATGAAGGCATCCTGGCAGTGTACTCTCTGGCCCCCCATAACCTGGGCGAAATGCTCTACACCAAGCGATTTGGTAAGGGATAGGAAGCCCAACCTAGTGACAAAGGGATGCTGGTACCTTGGCCTGGGCATTCCTAGGTGAGGTATAGCTTAGGTGGGAGTAATGGTCACATACTGCCCCTGCTTCACTGGGGCATGTGTCAGAGGAAGATTGCTTTGTGCTGGCTGGTAGCATTGCAGAAGAATCTCAGAATAAGAGTCCTCCCTACCACAGTGGCATCACCAGCATACTCCTGTTGTTATGGGCAGGAATAAGGGGGAGCTTCGTTCTTGGCCATGGCTTGGGGAAGTGGGCACACACACACTGCAAGGCCGTTTGGCATTGTGTATTAAAAGCCCCCAAAATGTATGTTCTCTTTGATCCAGTAATTTCACTTCTAAGGAAATAATCAGAAAACTATGCAAGATTTATTCAGAAGGATGTTCACAGCAGTGTTATTTATCATGGAGAAAAATGTCAAATTGTGAAGAGTTGCTTAAAGAAATAATGGTGCATTAATAAGGCAGAATACCATTTGGCCTTTAAAATGCTCTTACAGAAGACTATTTAATGGTGAAAAATGTTCGTAATGGAGGAAGTGAAAAAAGTAGATTTCAAAATAGTATTTACAGTATAATAATTTTTTAATGTGATTCTATGATAATACTGATTAGCATTTATTAAGTACTTTTTATGTGTCAAACACTGTACTCAATACTTTACATGCCTTCTCATTGTACTCTTCACTACAGTCCTATGAGATTAACCCCAGGATGACCAAACAAAGATGAAGATTAGAGAGAAAGAGAAAAGACGAAGAGGGAAAATTATTCCCTTGTAATAGCAAGAACTCTGGGAGATGTCTCTCTGTTTTTCTGGCCCTCAGGTCCCAATGCCATTTCAGTGAGCCTGTCCCCGATGGGTCGATATGTAATGGTGGGCTTGGCCTCACGAAGGATCCTGCTGCACCCCTCCACGGAGCACATGGTGGCCCAGGTCTTCAGGCTGCAACAGGCCCATGGTGGCGAGACCTCCATGAGGGTGAGTGCATTGCTCGTGGCTTCACTGTATGGCGGCTCTCCTAGGCCTGGCAGGGTAATGCAGGACAAGGTTGTGGACTCCCAGCCAGGACCAGAGATGTCATGCCCAAAGGAGCCAGGAAGGACTCCAGTCCAGCCCAGTAATGACCAGCAGGCCGCACTTTTGGAAGCTCTGGACTATTAAAAGTCAGGGGCTTTCTCATACCCTGAATCATGAGCTGGGTCCCCAGAGGCCTGAAAGGATCTTTGCATGAAGACCAAACTGAATACTTCCTTACCTCAACATGAAACCTTTAGTCTGGAGATACACAGAGAACCCAATGAAATATTTATGCTTCTTTTTAAAATAAATTTTTCAGGACGCAAGCTATAAAAAGAGATAGTATACTATGAAATGTTCTTTTCCTGAGGTTGTAATCACGATGGAGGATAAGGACTTTGGGCAGCTGCTATGCTCTTAACTGTCCCGTCCATTTCACTAGCAGAGAAATGTTCTATTTAGGACCCTTTCTTGTCTGAAGCCGTCCTTGCTTGTATTGCCATAAAAGCCTTCTGGGCATCCTGGAGTTAGTGGCCTCCTGGACTCAACCTGTCTAGTTTCTGACTGAGATTATTCCCACATCCCATGGGTGCTCATTTGGCCAGGGTTTTGTCAAGGGGAGTTGAGCATTTGAACACTTCTCTAATTAGATGGTGTTTAAGCTCGGTCTCAATCTAAGAACCTGTGAATTCCCTTAGCACTTATGCTGTGCCATTTATAGTTTTATGCACTTGTTTATGTGTTGTTTTGTGTTTTCTTTAGCAGTGTGGTGTGTATGTTTAATCCACCCAATTAGGTTCAGTATAAGCTCCTTAGGGGCATACCCCCCGGGGTCCCTCATTTAGTGCCACACATGTAGATGCTTGTTGAATTCAGCCTGGAATATGAAGCATTTGTTTTAAAGAAAAAACCCTAAAGATAGGACCCATTATATACAAAGCAATAGAAAGTGGGTGGCCAGGTGTGGTGTCTCCAGCCTCTTGTCCCTCCTATCTCCTACAAGGACCTTCTATCCAACTCTACTGAGCCACTTTCCAAGCCCCCTGAATTAGTAAGGCTCTCTCTTGCCAGGGTGCCTTTACCTGGAGTGCCCTTTTCTCCCTGAAACCCAACTGCCTGCAAGCTTTTCCCCTTCTATGGAACCTTCCTAAACAGAATTGATCACTCCCTCCTGTGCCACCCCTGTACCTAGTACACTCTCTGTGTTAACACTCATCACACCAAACTGCAGTTATTTATTTCCACATCATTCTCCTCTCTTGGCCCATGAGCTCCTTGAGAGTAGGACCGTGTCTGTTTCATCTTTATGAACTCCAAATACCTAATAGGAAACCTCTCATTTAGGAGAAGCTGAATAAATGAAAGAGAATCTCAAGAAAAGCATCCTTATTGTTTCTAGGTGGTAACTAGCAGAACCATTGATGGGTGACATCGTGTCCCACCATGCCTCTGAAAAGGTAGAAACAGGGCATTCTCTGCTCTTGACATCACAATGACAGGAAAGTTCTGATTCTTGAATCCATGTGACTAGAAATATTTGACATTGAGTGATTGGGAGAGGACTTTGCGGGAAGTTCATCGATCCTATTTTCTTACCTAGATAAATGAGGATGGAAGGTGAATTTTAGTTTAAATATTCTTATCTTAAGCAGATTTGGATGGTAAAAGTACCTGGTGTCTGCTTTTTACCACCTAGAATCTTGATCCTTGCTGTTCTTCTAAGCCTTCCTACCTAATTGTGGAATAATTGTTTCTAATCATTAAGAGAGGATCTGATTTCAGCAACACTAATGGACATCTCCAGCCTCTTCTGGAAGCGAAGGCTCCTGCCCAACTTTTGGGCACAGCCTGCCAGTCCTCCATCCTAGCAAGGTTCCTCTTTTCTATAAGTAGCCAGAAACATCTGGCTAAAGGCAAACAGCTCCAGGGCGGGAGCCAAGATGCTGTCACATATGGGGCTGGCAGCTCAGGGAATGCAGTTGGAGAAGTCTGCTGTGTAGGGGCTCAAGGCACCTAGCCAGCTGCTGCATGCCTCAGGACAAGAGCTACGGCTTAGCGTTCCCAGCAGGGGTTCTTTGATTCTCATTAGACCCCATCTGCCACTTAGGAGAGGGAGCTGAAGTAACTAGAAAGCTCTCATTTGGGAAGCATTTTTCTCACACAAGAGGCAGGATCCGGGCTTCTCAACAAGGTTTTGCTCACCCTGTGTCCACCCAGCCTGACTTTAAACCCCTGTGCTACAGAAAGGTTTCTGGTTTTCCAGGTCTTGGTTGCCCCTTACGTCCAAAGGCACCAAAGCACTCAGCACATGTCCCTGAATTCAGTCACTGGTGGAAGGGAAGACACCAGCTTTTTTGGATAGCTGTGCTGTACCACCGTTTAAGGCAAGAAGTGCATTTTTGTCTGAGAACAGGGAGCGAGGGTTTAATGGGACAGTAGAGCATCTCCCTCTTTGCACAGGTAAGTATAGGTGGCTGTCTCCATCTGTAATGTCAAGCTCTGTCCTTGAAGGAATTTGTGGGTACTGGGCCTGTCCTAGAGCTTTTCTACCCAGAATCCCCCTTCTCTGTGGTGTTCCCTCTTGGAATGCACTGTGGTAACGTTCAGAGAGGTGAAATTGTTGGGCCAGCAGACGTTCCCAGGAGAGCATCCTCCAGAGGATCGACTTATTTTAATTCCCACTAAGTGACCGTCTCTCCCCAAGAGATGATCTTACACAGTCCCATATGAAAACTCTTGTAAAAATGAATTGCTAATTGCTCTTCACCTTGGCATGCTTATTCTAAGCAGTTCTTCAGACCTCTGGATCAGTGCTTCTCAAACTGTGCTCCTTGGACAACCTGCATTAGAATGCATGGGGTCCTCGTTAAAATACAGACTCCACTTCACACCAAAATCAGAATAAGAATTGGGCAGGAAGGGGACCGGGTATTTATATTTGTAAAACAAGCTTTCCAGGGCTTCCCTGGTGGCGCAGTGGTTGAGAGTCTGCCTGCCGTTGCAGGGGACACGGGTTCGTGCCCCGGTCTGGGAAGATCCCACATGCCGCAGAGCGGCTGGGCCCGTGAGCCATGGCCGCTGAGCCTGCGCGTCCGGAGCCTGTGCTCCGCAACGGGAGAGGCCACACGTACCGCAAAAAAAAAACAACAAGCTTTCCCGATGATTCTGATACGTACTTGAGTTTGAGAACTGCTGTTCTTAATGACTGCTTTCTTCATTTTAGGTTTCTGCCCTCAGCCTCTTCAGCAGAGGCAGAGATACAGTCTCAGGTTTACTTCTTATCGTGGTTTTATGTGTGATGCTTTGATCCTTTGCTAATTTTGTTGCAGGCACAGTGGTGTTTGTGTTCTATCTCCTATAAAACTCTTAGCTTTTTGGCTGTCCGTGCTTCACCTCCCATTTTTCTCAGCTGTTGTTGCTTTACAGGGTTCTCCCTTGAATATCTCTATGTGCTGAATTATTTTCTTTCCCATGTTGAGTTTAATTATTATCCTTGTTTCTAGGATCTAGGGTCCTCAGATATTTCCCTTCTCTGCTTACTAAGGCTAGGCTTAGTCTTCCCAATTTTAGTATCATTGGCAAATCAGGAAAAATAAGACTAGGCACATATTTTATCTCCCCCTTCCGTCTGTTGATTCGAGGCTCTTCCAGGCTGAATATGCTACTATCTCTGCCTCAGGGTCTTATGTGCCATCTGACTCCCTCACACTTGAGCCAGTAGGACTTTTTGTTAATTTCTGTTTGGTTTTTAAGTTAGGCATTTAAAGATTGCTGAGCTGAAGTTTTGCTGAATTCTCAAAACACTAAACTGCCTGAGTTCTCTCTCTGCTTTCATTTTCTAATTGGAACAAGGCACAATATTGTAGCAGAAAACTGCAATTAATTTTCTAAAATTATGGTAACTTACACAGTGTAATAACTTTGGTTGTAACCAAGTGAAAGCATAATAACAAAAATATAAAATTACTAATGAAACCAGAAATAGTCATATAGCAAACTATGCCTCCAGTTTGTAATAAGTGCTGTTTTACCTAGGAATGGGGCCAAACGTCAGCGGTCGAGGTGTGGGTGTAGGTGGGGAGGCAGTGCTGGGGCAGTTTGGGCAGAAGTGATGGACAAGGGACTTGGGTGGGAGAAGAAGCCCTAGGACAGAAAGCAGTTTGGCTCTCCTTTCTCCATGAGACAGCACTGTGCTCTTTAAGGCCAAGCCTCAAACATCAATACTTAAGGGTCAATTTTATTAAACGCTTTTTCTTTGTGGCTGTGTGGTGAAACTGTATTCAAGGGTTGAGCAACTATTACCCAGACAGATTGTTAGTTTGGAGGGGGTGTTGGAAAGAAAGCCTGCCCCTCCCTCCCTCCACCCCTCTCTCTCCCCCCTCTTCTCCCCCCTCTTCCTCTCTTCTCTCCCGCCTACCCCAACCCCTTCTTGACCCTGAGAGCTCTGTTCTTCAGTAGTGGACAGTCCCCTTGTATACCTTCTCCCTCTAGAGCTCCAGCTCTAAAGATATGCGTCCCCCTCATTCTCAGTAGGTCCTAGGCAGCTGGAAAAGGAAGCAGATCTTTTTTAGACCTACAACCTACTTATATCTAACTGGCCAGTAGTTCTCAATGTGTATTCCCCGGGACTAAGTCAGCATCATCAGGGAACTTAATAGAAATGCAGCTTCTCAGCCCTATCCCAGACCTGCTGAATCAGAAGCTCTGAGGGTAGGGCCCAGCCATCCTTGTTTTACCAATCCCTCCAGTTGAGTCTGCATGCTGAGTCAAGATTGAGAACCAATCATCAACTGCATGGGGATCCCAATTAGACCTCACCTGTCAGTATAGCTTTGTCATTTTCTTTTTTGCTCTCACCTTGTCTCTGGAACCTCATCTGGTTTATTTCTATGGCTCCTTTAACCAGATCTTTCATATACTTTCAGGAAGTTGAGAAATTGATGAGTACCTCCTGCCCTTAG